GGTTATTATGAGTCAAAACCAACTTAACAATTATCTTGTAGCAATATGCTTTGACTTACCTGTGTGATACTTCACATAATTTAGTTTAGTTTAGTAGCTATTATAAGTTTTTTTTTCTTAAATCACAAAAATTCACCTGTTTTTTATCAGTATGTACTCTGGCCATGTCTTCATTATCTCCTAAAGATCCATGCCTTCCTTCTTCCTTTTTCTGATTAAACATGGATATAAAAAAGAAAGGAAAAAAAAATTAAGATTAGTATCTAAGAAGATGTTGTTGTTAAGTGCCATCGGGTCAATTCCAACTCACAGCAACCCCAATATAGGGTTTCTGAGGAGTGGCTGGTGGGTTCATATTCCAGTGCTGATCCTACAGCATCACACCAGGAATCCAGCATCTAAGATATAAATTTAATCCAATTTTCCACATTTGTTGTCATTGTTAAGTACTATCGAGTCAGTTTTGAATCATAGTGACCATGTACAGGGTTTCCAAGACTGTAAATCTTTGCAGGAGCAGAAAGCTTTGGTGGTCTTGAACCACCGACCTTATGGATCGCAGTCCAGTGCTTATCGTACAAAGCTATCACATTTGAAGGCTAGCTGGTCAATGTTCAACCACTTCAGGAAGTGGCATATGATCAAGAACCAATGGTGTTAAAGGAAGAAGTTCAAACTGCACTGAAGACACTGGCTAAAAACAAGACTTCAAGAATTAACAGAAGACAAAGACAAATGCTTCAAAGACATGGTTTCAATGCTAGAAGTACTCGTTTATGCCAAGATATTTGGAAGACTGGTGCCAGGCTAACCAATTGGAAAAGATCCACATTGTGCCTATTCCAAAGAAAGGTGATCCAATAGAATGTGGAAATTATCAGATAACAGCATTAATATCTCATTCAAGTAAAATTTTGCTAAAGATAATTCAAAATTGCTGCAGCAGTATACTAATAGAGAGCTGCCAGAAATTTAAGCTGGATTCAGAAGAGGATATGGAAAGAGAGATATTATTGCAGATGGCTGAAAGCAGAGAATACCAGAAAGACGTTTACTGTGTTTTAATGACTATGCAAAGGCATTCAACTGAGTGGATCATAATTATGGATAACACTGCAAAGAATGGCATTCCAGAACACTTAATCGTGTTCAAGCAGAACTTGCACATAGACCAAGAGACTATCCGGAGGAGCTCCAGTGTCTGTTTAAGTGAACGAGTTAATGCCAGAGTGATACAGTATGAATAAGGCCCAACCAGTCCTTGCTGGCTTTGAGATGGAAGGAAGGATTGTGGACAGCCTCCAGAAAAGGCAAGAAATGGATTCCTCCCTAGAGCCTCCACAGGGATCACAACCCTATGGACACTTTGATTTTAGCCATGTGAGTCCCATTTCAGACTTCTGACATTTAGAACTGTAATATAATAAATTTGTATTCTTGTAAGCCACCAAAGTTATAGTACAATTCTTGTTATTCATAGTTCCTTGCTACACAGTCCCCAGGAACACAGAATTAGGAAATCCTTAACCTCAAGGCTCTCTGGTGACACAGTGATTAAAGCACTGGGTTGCTAATCAAAAAACTCACCAGGTGCTCCACTAGACTAAGTGGTCTTTTCAATGTCAATAACAGCACTACAGCATAAACATTTTCCTATGTTAAATGGAAACGGCAGGTTTCAGAACTAAATGACCTCCAGTAAGTAAAAGAAATAGAAAAGAGATCGGAAAAAACAATACAAAAATGTCAATAGTCTATATGTGGTGGAATTATGAGGATTTTTTTTTTCTTTCGTTCATTTTTAAAGTAATAAACATGTACTACCTTAGTAGTCTATAAAAAAATATTTTAAAAAGACACAAAACTGGTGAAGTGGTCAAAAGCAAAATTTCCTATATGATTACAAGTTAAGTTGCATCCTTAAGAGTTTCTGCCACCATTTGAATCCCAGCCTCCATGACCCTGAGACCAGAAGAACTAGAGAGTGCCTAGCTATTAAAAACAACGGCTCTAAAAGCAATCACAAGAAGGTCCTGATAGAGTAGGAGAAAACGTAGAACAAAACTCAAAATTATAAAAATGACCAGACTTCGCTGGATAGAATGTGATGAAACCCCAAGATTGTGGTCCTTAGTCATCTCTTCAGGTCTGTAAATGACCTCACACCCGTCCTCAACTTTCAGCCAAAAGATTAGCAGTTCTGATGTGGCGCTGTAGGTTACTGTGCTGGACTGCAAGGTTCAAGCTTACCAGCTGCTCCCTGGAAACCCTATATAGGGTTGCTATGAGTCAGAACCAACTTGACACTAACAACAACATAAAGTGAACAATAATATCAAGAAAGTATGCACGCACCACTTAAAACAATCAACCATATGAAATGAAACAGCACTTGTTCAAGGGTAAAGCTCAGAAGGGAGCATGGTGACTCTGTACAACAGCATTGGACTGCCAGCCACAAGGTCTACAGTTTGAGCCGGCCAGCTGCTCCACCTCAGAAAGATGAGACTTTCTGCTTCCGAGAAGACTTAAAGTCACAGAAACCCTATACAGAGTCTCTATGAGTGGGGATCGACTTAAGAAACTTAACAACAACAATGCAGCTTAGAAGGCAGGATGGACTGGAAAGAAGGAAATGGTAAACACAGGGAAGAGGTGGAAAGAGTGCTGCTACATCGTGGGGATTGACATCAATGTCACGAAACAAAATGTATTATGAATTGTTGAAAGAAAAGTCAATTTGCTCTATAAACTTTCACTCAAATCACAATAAAAAGTAAAAATGTCTTTTATAAAAGGGAATCGGGGGCAGGAGGAAACGTAAACAGCAATGATTCTTCTTCTATGTCATAGGTAACATAGTAGGTTAAGTCTTTTTCAATTTCAATAATGTATGTAAAATAAATAACAACACAAAAGTAGAGTACAATTTATGCTCCTCCCCCACATCATCACTGGTATGGAGTCTTGGCGTTGGCCCTGATATCAGTACAACGAATGAAACAGTCATTCACTTGTGTTACTGACATTGGACTTACAAGTTGTGATGACCTATAAATAACGAAGTCCTAAACATTTAGCAGATTTGCTTTTATGGAATTTTAAAACACATTTTCTCATATAAACAGTGTTGAAAATAATAGTCAAGTTCCCAAGTTAACCTGCAAAGACCTATTTAACCTGTAAGTAGTTGTTGTTGTTAAGTGCCTTTGAGTCGGTTCTAACCCATAGGGAACCTGTATAGGGTTTCCAAGGAGTGGCTGGTGAGCTTGAACCACTGACCTTGTAGTTCAAACCGACTTTGCAGTCCAGCGCACTAGCCCATGGCGCTACATCCTGAGTAACCCTAAAGATTCACCAGGCCAAGTGTCTGAGTCTCAAGGACGAGACTAAGGAATAGAGATGGACTGTGGCTTGAGAGCTGTGCCTTATTAGTCACAGGTGTGAGTGCAGCTGCAAAGATACTAATGTAGAGAACATTAGCAGGTCAAGGATCAGGATACGACAACAATAATCTTTTCTATGTACGAATCAACCAGTAATTCTAAAACGTGGATTTGTTCTGTTCATTACCTTTTGAATTTACTTCCATGGTGCTTGCCAGATAAAGGAATATGATGCCAGGAAATCAATGAGTCACTCTGGGAAACATGGAGTCAGTAAACCTGATCTTCAATTAAATAAACTAAAAGGATGTGTAAATCTTGTTACTAATGTATTTTGGAGTTCTGGTGTGTCACTGTAGGATAAGCACTGAACTGCTAAATGCAAGGCAGGCAGTTCAAACCCACCAGTTGTTTTCAGAAACCCTATACTGAGTTGATACCACAGTGTCCTGATGTGGCTCTGTAGGATCATCAGCATTAGACTGCAAATCATAAGGTCAGTTCAAATCTACCAGTGGATCCCTGAAAATCCTATACAGGGTTGCTGTAAGTTCAAATCGACATGACAGCACTTAATATGAGTTGGAACAGAATTGAAGGTACCTAACAACAATAACAAGGAGCTCTGGTAGTGTAGTGGTTATGAATCGGGCTGCAAACCACAAGGTCAGCAGTTCAAAACTACCAGCTGTTCCACGGGAGAAAGATGAGGCTTTCTGCTCC